GGTGCTGTTTAAAGCAAAGAAGGACGGCGACTGACAGGCACAGGTTGACAACACAAGCTCATATTTCACTGCGTCATGATATGGCTTGACACGATTGAAAATCATTAAAGAAAAATGTCAATCACACTGTAACAGTCTGTCAATAAAAAGATAAAAGACGTTCTAAGAACAAATGACTTTAATTATCAAAACTATAAAAAAAACTTTCGGCAAATTTTATTAAGAGAATTACGTACATAACTGAACATCTAGAAAAGATAACATACCATTTTGTCATACAATGTATACGACTTTTTTAAAAAGTGAAATCTTAGTGTATTTCATTTTAAACATTATTTACCGAAAACAAAGTAACTGATAAAGATTTATTCAACCCATAAATTGTAAATGGAACATCAACATTTTTTAGCTATGAATTTAAGTGTAAATATGATAAAAAAAATGACATTAATTTCATTTCATCTTTATCCAAATAAATATTTGACAAGAAAATTATAAAGTTGTCCGACACTTTATATGTTTCTAAAGGATATATATAACATTGTATTATAAAGTGTTCAAAGATTGCAAAATTGTTCTATTTTGTTTTTCTTAGGTTACCTTCCCTTGTTGATATCAATATTATGAAACAGAATTAAATGTTTAAAGAGGTTAATACAAGCATGGTTTCTACAGAAACATTTAATTCTGTTTCATAATATTAATATCAACAAGGGAAGGTAACTGTGACAGGACATGTTGATAGATAGATACTTTATTAAGTTCAATGTACATGAAGAGCTGAACATATATACAAACATAAAATTATGAAAATAAAAATTAAAAAAAAACGCTTAAAACAACTAGTTTTACTATACGAATATGTAGTCAAATATAACTGCAAACATAAAGTATGTTATTAATTTAGGGATATCAACAATCCAGAAATCAATATTTACAATATTTCTAGGAACATACTCATATTAAGAATCAATAAATGAATATATAAATAATTGAATAAAGCATAGAAATGTATCACAATGTCAGCTCTATATTCCAACTATAAGAATTTGTCAGAGTGCTTGTGATTATTCTGAGGGGTACGGCTAACATAATGTTTAACTAAATTAAAGAATAGCTACAGAATATGACGGAAGTTTTGAAGAACTGTTTTCTGGCAAGTTATGAATATAAGATTTTCTACACTTTCTCTCGCTCATTGCTGTCTTTTTCTTCCTACTTATTTGTGAGACATACTCCGTACTCGACGGAAAACAAATATGTCTATCCTTTAATTAATTTAATTTACCGCAATGAAATTCAAGCACATTAATTTATGCAATTGATTTAAACAAAAACAACATTCACAGTATTTTGTTACTATCACTATAAAACAATCTGGAGGTATTTTACTTCGAGGATTGAAGGAAAATTACCGAAGTTTCATTTCGACAAATTTGAGAGAGTGTGCACCTGTTCTTTTTAAGTGGTACCAGACTATTCCTTTACCATTTGGAAAAAATGGACCGTGATAATAGAATCCATTTAAGTTTGAACTATGGCAACTGTTATACCACCATGCTCCTCTATAATCTTCAGCGCAATTCCATTCCGCTTCATCATTATCTCGATCTTTTGTGGAGAATTCTTGAGCATTATGATTACTTAATGAATCTCCAGCAGTTCCACTATAACCGCTCACTTCCAGAGCGTAATTTTCCTCCTCAGACTTTATCTTAAAAGTACTATACTTAGCATATGCTTTCTTTCCCTCGAAACCTTCCATATCTATCGTAACTCATGATTTCCAGTTGCCGTAAGAACATGTATATTCTCATTGCCAAGCCAAAACTCCCCAAACAAATTCCCGAAGCCAATTTTATAGTCTGTCCAAACACGTTCAAAGTCCGTATAACCGTCTTGACGACGCTGAAAGACCGTCCATCCTCCGCCATCAGTGGTTTGATCACAAAAAACCTGCATCCCATTATTTAATTTATATATGCCATCATATTTAAAAGTTGACAATAAATCGGAACATGATGCAAATGTTCTTTTTTCTCCATTCCTTGTCGTCAAATTTGCCTTAATCGTATCTACTTCATTTGATATAGACTCTATCTTTGACATCATTAGTTCCTCTTTTTTGTTCCTCAGTTCCAGCTCGGTTTCTAGATTGTTAATTTTCCAAGCCATCCAATCCTTCTCGCCCTCCAATTTCTGATTAAACAATTCTTCCACTTCAATTCCTATATTATCAATTTTACTAGTCATTTCTGTTTCTAAAATATCAATTTGACTAGCCATTTGCTTCATCGTGTTCCAGATAATCAATTGTGTGTTCATTACGTTTATCATTTGCCTTTCTACACTACCCGTTTTATTTTGCAATATATCAACACTGTTGCTAATATTAGATGTCAAGAAAGAATTCACTTTGACCAATTTCTCTCTTATTTTCGCATTTTCAAGTTTTTCTACAGCGATCCCTTTCAGAATATAATCGAGAGTTTTTCTTATCTCTGCCTCAACATCTTTTGATGTCTCTTGATTACTGCGACCAATATCCTTTATTGACTCCAGAACGCTTACTTTTTTCTTTATTGCAGATAGTGTACCAAATATTTCAGCTAGATCAGACCGACGTAATTTGCTTAGAGTATCGATTCTTGATTCTACACCTTCTACTCGCTCAATTGCATAATTTACAGTAAATGCTGAACACTTACCAAATAAAAATATAAACCAACTAATTTTATTAAGCAACGCCATGCCTTTATTAGTTAAAAAAAACTATTGTTCCAGTCGTTTTTTGTTTTTTAACGATTTGACAATCTGAATTTCAATATCACATAACAATTTAAATGTCCTAATCGCATGACTTCTTTAAACGTTTTGACAAAGGTCAATTTGAAACCACATTATACACTATAAACACTCTTCTATCTCTTTAATACTTAAAACACTTATGTATTTCCTGACTTCAAGGCTATGCATGCGCAATAAATTGACATTGTATGTATGTATGTATGTATGTATGTATGTATGTATGTATGTATGTATGTATGTATGTATGTATGTATGTATGGTATGGTATGGTATGGTATGGTATGGTATGGTATGGTATGCCTGCCTGCCTGCCTGCCTGCCTGCATGCATGGATGTATGTATGTATGCATGCGTATGTATGTATGTATGTATGTATGCATGCATGCATGTATGTAGTTTATGGTTAATGAGGGTCCATCCGCCCTTTCAGGTACAAAATGCAGCTTTCGCTGTCGAGTACGGACCCCGGACATGTCATAGGTCATGTCCTTAAAGAGTTAATTTTGAAGCACAAAGTGGTGATAATTTACCTCCATGCAATTTCCACGGAGTATTAGCCAAAGATATGAATTTTGAGCCAAAAGTAGGTCACTGTATGGCGGTCAATGAGAACCTAAATGTACAGTAACCTGAGACAATATGAAAGGGTAGCCCTGAAAAGGGCTGTGGTGCCAGTAAAATGCCTGTCGTTCAAGCTGTCTATCCGTGCTCACGCACCTTAGCACACCATCATTGTCGACCCAAGAGCCTACTGTGTAGGACCACTCCTCTCGGCTTTAGTCAGGACATCGGCAGCTGGTCCGCAGCACAAGTTCCGATCCTTTTCGCCGTCCCCAGTCTTCAAATTTTCTAACACCCTAATATCGTAGATGGTTAATTTTCTTTCATGTAACAATATAAATGACAAAAGGAAGACCTAGATTTCAAATAATCAAACAAAGGGAATAAGGCAAACGTTCGGTTAGCCATTAAATTTAAGTGATTTAGGAGCCGACCTTTAAAGTGACAAATTAAGGTAAAGTAACTTGTAACATTAATGAAGTGCTATGGTGCCGAGCAAAGGGCCTACCTTTCAAGTCGTCACTGCGTACTTTATATGGGCTCACGAACCCTGTAGTCCTTCCTCGTCGTCAATGTATTCTCTGTAGGGCCTCTCACATGGGCTTCATCATAGACGCCGGAAGCTGGTTCGTAGGATTTGAGAGCAGCCAAACTCCTCGACATAATGTGGTTTTAGTTTGGCCACTAGAATCTGCCTCAATATACAGAAACAGCCCTCGGATCTTTACCTGTCGGTGTGTTCTTGGTGAAAAAATGTCCGACCAATATTCTGCCGATGCCATGTGCTTCTCAACGACAAGTGGATGAGTGAGTTTGAATTACTGTTGCTTTATTTTGTGTGTGTTTTACAAATAAATAAAGACGAATGTTATCTAGTGGGATTCAGTTTGTACGCAATTTGAGGCTTAAATTGTTACTTTTAACAAATGCATGTATATAGATTACTCGTGATTTCATAATGTTTTAATACAACTATCTAATATATGTAAAGATATGAAAATGCTTAAATAAGTGTACAACAGATGTGTTGGGCTACTGCCAACATTAGAAATAGCCCTGCCCACAAAGTCTAAATGTCGTAACATAATTTTTCTGAATTTTTCTCATGTAATAAGTTACGAAAAAATAAGAAATGAAAGAAATCAATAGTTTTGTATCTATATAAATAATGTAAAAAATGAAATAAAAAGTAGAGGGGAGGGGTTAGATAAACACACATCAGTGTGTATTTTTTAGTAAGGTTCAATCAGATCATTGCTAATTTACGTTTAACATTTACCACTATTTACCTATCATTTTTTTTTAATTATAACGGCATTCTGCAATTCCTGAAAAAGTCATGATACAAACAAACAAAGAGAGGAGAAAAAACACCAAAAACGAATAAACAAACAAACAAAAACCAAGTAAAACAACACAAACAAAACATAAAGTTCATTTGTTAATGTAATTCATTAGTCAAGCTAATAATTAAGTTTAAACCGTAAACGTCCCGAAACTTCAATGAAGTTGGCACACGTAAAATGTTTAGCCAGGTAAAACACCATTAAGCATGCAGTGTCGTCTGCTGTTAAAGGGAGGTAACTCGCATACAGGTAAATTTGTACAGGTGTAAATCAATAACGTCGTACATTCCTTTTACTATTATTGTAGTACATGTTGACAGCAAATATGGCGGAAAAGAGTGACGGTAGTGATAAAAATAGTGAAATATTCACAATTAGCGAGTTTACAGAGTGTTTTGATCTTCCAAAATGGGTTGAAGTTGTTGGGGGCAAGGATGTTGGCCCCACGGACAATGGATCGTGCAATATTAAAAAAGGAATGATATTAATTTTACGGACATTAGCTGTTGACAAAGTAACTTTATCGTTTACTGATTCGGATACTGGAGTCAAACGGATAGTTCAAGTTTCGCCGGACACTCAAGTGAAGTTTAAAGTGCTCTTACCGAATCCGGATTTCAAAGCGCCACAAAAACCTAGAACTGTATACGAGAGAGTGTCAGATCTTCTGACTGTTTGTCCGACATATTTTAAAGCTAATGTATTCTACGATGACCCATATTTACCAGCTATTGTCAAATCAGGTGAAGTGTTCAGATTTATACGTCAGATAAAGCATGAATCTGACCGACGGACATATCTTCAATGCGAGGATGCCGACGGCAATATCATAGAATTACCGTGTGAATGTCGCGGTGACTTTACAGCCGTCGAAGACGATAAATCGTACAGTTTGAAAGAAGTCCTCGAACTTGGTCCAGTGGATCGGAAGTTAATATTGTCACGTGACCATATCAAAATGGATCTAGTCGAAGAGGCGGGAAACGAAGAAAATTTATATTGTAATCTTTCTCATTCAGATGGAACAGACGTTTTGCAAAGGATTATGGGGCTGCCCCTGTCCTACAGTGGTCTTTTAACTTATCATAAACCAAAAATGTTTCTGGCAGCTTCACCTAGCGACAATCTTCAAGAGGTTTGGAAGATACCGCTCTCTGTTGATATTCAGGTTAAAGAGTTCACTGAAGATCAATATGAAAGACCCACTATTGCATGTACAGAATCATCTAGTCAAACCCCTGCCTTCAAACTTTACAAACTTAGTGAACTCCTAGACACATATCATGAGGATTTCCCGGTGCTTGCAACATTGGTGCATTATAAGGATATGCCTGTAGATTTTAAACATTGTTTAGAACCAGGATGTGATGTAATTATCCATGACATTGAACGTTTTGACAGAATTTTAGCAAAGTCAGGTGAAATGCAGTTCTCTATAGCAAGAAATATGGAAGGAAGATTTAGAAAAACGTTAAAGAAATTTGAATCGTTGGAAGATTTAAAAGCAGCTCATCCAAATCCTCTAAGTGACCATCTTTATGTTAAAGTTCTTCAAGAAATTGCTTCCGATTTCCCAGTTGCTTTTTCATTACAAACGGGGGATGTATTGAGATTTAAAAGTTTGCAAACAAAACTGCTCAAAATGAAATCTAAAAAGTTTGGTCCATTTCAGGTTATTAATTGTGAGAAAAGTAAAGAATCAGGTTCATTCGAAAAAATACAATTACCTGTAGATTTAGAAGTGTGTTTGCACGAGATGCCATCGAGGACCAAAGCAGAGGGATTCACTGCGGAAGAGGTCTTCCGGTATAAACCTGAACTTCCGCTAAATGTAGATTTTCTTGCAGACGATAAAAGTTTATGGAGTTGTTTGCCAATAAGTTCAGAAATCTCTTTGACTAATTTTGTAACAGAGGCTATTGCAATAATTTCTCCTGTGCCAAAATATGACCACACAGAAGACTCTCGTAAATATATTGACAATCGTATAAGGGATTGTTTGCTGGTCCCCACGCGTCATCATATGATGCTAACAGTTAAAGACTGTCTTGGTTTCCCGCCTGGATACTTTATGTTTCCTGACAAAAGTGTTTTCATTCACTGCCCAGTAGAAAAAATCAGTAAACAGTCTTACGAGGAACTGATTAGACATAATGACATGGCGTACGAAGATTATGAGCCAGAATCTCCGGTCAGTGCCGGAAGTGGAATACTCCTGCCTTCAAGGTGTGTACTGATGACTTTTCTTAAGCACCACATGTTGTTTGGCAATTTTGAAAGCAATCGCAACTTGTCCTCAGTTACAGAAATAATTTCAATTGTAGGTCCCTTTAATTCCATCAGATATCTTTTATCCATTAAGTTTTAAAAATAAAGCATTAATGGTTTACAAATATGATAATTTTATGGCTTTTACAATGCTTGTATGTAGGAACTAAAAACCACACTGAATTTTGAATAAGTGCTTAGAAGTAGACGACGAAATATAAATACATTATACATGTACATGTATTCACCACCTGAAATGACAACGATAATTGATACACAACATGTAATTAATGGGATATTTTTTATCGTGGGTGGGGGTGAAATATGCTTTCAGTATTTGGGGAAAATAGAACATTATTTTATTAATTCATTGCATAAAAATTATCACTGCACAGCAAAATGTAACTCAAGTTCGCCAACTAAGTATTCGTTATTCCATAATTACTATGCCATGTTTCATTTCATTCAAGGTTATACGTTCTGTAAAGCTTCAGGCAAATTCCAATGTATAACAAATATATTTATTATAGTTTGTCAGAAGAATTTCTCCAAAGTTATTACCGAAACACAGTTGGTATTCACTTTTGTTCCAAGAAAAAAGCTATGTTTTCCAGATGCTCTGGGGCTATTTACCACCATTTCCAATCACTGATTATTAGTATATTAACTGTAATGTAACTGTTTACAGTGAATATAGCATATTTAATAAGTAGATAAGAAAAATACCAACAGTTTACAAAATATTTAAACTTGATTAATAAATTACATAATTGTCATTTTCTTTTTTTGTGGATGAAAAAAAATGTGAACACCACCGTCTTTGTTGTTAGAACATTTTTGTTAGTTTGTTTCTGTCGAAGAAGAACTTAACAAATTTGAATGATTATTATTCTATACCTAAAGTAATAATACTTTCAAAAATGTTTAAATGTTTGAAAAATGAAGAGGATCGTGATTTGTTTAGAAAACAAATGAACAATATTACATAAAATTAGCCTACATACTTATAAAATGAGTCACCTCTCCTTATGTAGAAAAAAGACTATTAACCTTCTCTTTTAAGTAGAAACAGAGATTTTTATCTCCTGATTATTAAGCAAATAGTTCCTCTACCTCTCCCCCACCCCCATCACAAGTCACATTTTAAGGGGGTGGGGGATATTGAGTATGACTTAAATACTGACTATCACCTTCACTGATAGTGTAGTAAATAGTCAAACCTCCGGCAAAAAGTAATGTAGGAGATAAAAATCTTTTGAATATAATTATGATTATGTTAACTTCAATGAGAAGTGCAGTATTTGGGAGACTTAAAATCGATTACTGTAGTCTATACTTCAATCATCTTTTTCTGAAGTACAAAAGAAAGGCACCTTATGATTCAATCTCTAAGAGAGCACCGGTTTATTTATTAACTTTTAAAAAAACTTTTTATAATTTTTGTTTTGCAGATCAAAATCAAAAGATTCGAAAGAGTCAGAAACCGTGAACAAGCGCCTGTCTAAGTCATTGACCAATATGTTTAAAAACAAGCCGAATATATTGAATAAATTAAAAGGACGTAAATCATCGGCTGACACTTCCGGAAAACCCGTGACGTTAGCAGTGCAGAACGACACATACCAGGCGGGTTCCATGCATAGCAGCGAGTCATTTGAAGGTTTGATTAAGTTTATTTTGAAAGCTAGTTGTAAACGTGACTTTTTGCGTAACGAAAAATGATGAATTATAATTATCTGCATGTATTTAATATAACGCTTGACAGCGGAAAGAGTATACAGTTCATTTAAAACTAGCTATATGTTTTAGTTGACGTAACGAAAATATGTGAAACATACAGAAGGAACCGTTCAAGCATCCTTCGTATGATATTTTTATTGCTGTCAGTCTCTTTGTTTTCGATCAGTGATTTTCATGGTGCGGTTGCATTATGTTACTAGTATATTACATGTATTTCTTTCTAGTCTCTCATCCATATATATATCTAATTTATCATGCAAATTAGTTTGCCTACAAGCTTTATTTACATATTTGTATTATTTTGTTGTTAATGCTCTTTTGTTTGTGAAATTTGATGTTTATCACATTGATGCCCATATGAATATCCCAGACATGTACAGTCACATACAGTAATATTTGTTGCTTTTATTCCGAAATGAAATTGACCTTCAAAGTCAAAATTTTATTGTTATAAGAACATTTCACCACACAATTTTATTTCTTAGATCGTTTACGGATAAGGCATAATTGTGTCAGAGGTGTTATAGGAGCACTTCTTCTTGTTGGCATATTTTGTATGAAAAATCTTTTTTCATTTGTAGAGGACAATATCTATGAGTCAGTAAACGTCAAAGGGAAACACTCTAAAAGCTAGCGCATGTCAACACTCCGCTAGGTAAGAATATTTATAACTTGCTTTATTGTTAAAAGTTTCAAGTACTCACCAGTGATAACCAGGACAAATTAAAGTGTTCCACAGAAAACAAACAATCAGAACCCCTCACATTTTTATCAATCGCCACTTTCCGGCCCTTTCCGTCAATCTTCGGATTATGAATTATCGTCGAGGTGTTCCGATCTACAAAAAATTGTCGGAAAGTGTTCTGGTGCAAAAATGTTTTTAAATTATCATAAACTTATAAATAAAATATTGAAAAATATTGATGAAAAAATTATGTATTTTCATTTTCCGTATTTTCACTGTAAAATTAAATTTTCACTGCAGTAAAAAATATTTAATTTCCGTACTTTCACTGGTGTCTTGCCGGACTACTTTCTTCTAAATTCAGCCAATACACACAATGTTAGGGGAAGTCTTTTAAATTTTAATGTCAAAAAAAATATATAAATAAACAGAAAATTAAAGTGTTTTTTTTTCTATAAATACAGGATTTATCTTCATCTTGTGGTATGAAAATTATCATATTTAACTTGTGGCTACCGCCACTCATGAAATATTTAAAATAAATCGTGTATTAATAGAAAGAATATCGTCTATGTATCGGAGCTATGATGCAAAAAAAAACTTTATGTGTAAATATGTTACAAATTCTTGTCTAAATCGTCACTCTACAAAATTCCTTATATTCACATTAGATGATAAATTTTTTTTTCGAAAACGCCGACAAAAATGAATAAATACTGAGAACGAAATATTTCTAAAGTTAAAATTTGCGCCATGGAAATTGAGACTTAAATGTGTCTAGTAAAATACATATACATATACAATGTGCGCGTACACGTATTTAAATAAAGAGAAAATCAATGAGAAAAAGAGAGCATTGTGATGGTAAAGTCTTTCCACCAATTCACCTCAATCGTTCGGTAAGCAATAACATACTTAACAGACAAAAAAGTATATACGCTTACACTCAATTACAAAACCTCTTAAGAAGCTATCTTAGAAATTAGCACAAGCTTTTCTAAATTACCCACATGTTTCACGGAATTCTCAATAGGTATCACTTTGTCAGCGTTTGTGAGCAAATTATCGTCTGCAGAAAAAAATTAATCATAACAACTTATTATATTTGTTGGCACTGTGTAAGGTGTACTGAAAGACGTTTTTTCACATAAATAATCAGAATTAGGAGAGAAAGTTTTTTCGTTATGAACATTTCAGCATATATTGTTTCTTCCGGAAGAATGAAGAAATATTGCATTTTGTACAATACATTCTTAAGTAGTGAATTCTATTTGAATTTCGCATGAAGACAGTTTTGTTGTTGTTGTTTTTTATACCGTAGATACCTGCATGTTTAGTGCCATATTTTATGCTTTACCAGATTTTTATAAATTATTAATAGAAATATTGAAAACAGAAAAAAATAAGTAAATAAAAAATGCCATTGTTACGTATCGGCTGTTCTATTCAAAGTAAGTGAAACAGCAAGTGTGAGAAAAGTGTGTTTTTTCGACATATACTGGAATTGTTATTACTAAGCACATTACTTGTTTGGCTTATCACAACATTTTGCTTATAATAATACCTGTAACATAAACCATTACACCACCAACAAATTAACTACTGATTGGGATTTACGTCATACTGGCATTGTTACTGGAATACAGTGCAACCTTTATAGTGCGACCCTCTGTAAAGCAATAACCTTCGTACAACAAAGGTATCATTTCTAGATAATTTTATCGCTCTTAAACACACTTATCAGCAATTAGCAAAATCTTTGTATCGAAAGGGGCGTTTTTATGCAATGGTAGTACCATATTTAAAATACCGGTGCGGGCGACGGGCCATTGGTTTATTTATGCAAACACCGGTGGTCATCTGAAAGCGCGTTGTATCGCCGACCTTCAGTAAACCAGCAGAATAGCTATCTTTTTTAATTCTAATTCACACGTTTTAAGATCTCTTATTCGCCTTGCCTGCCGATTCTAGCGAATAAAATAAGGTGTTTAATTCATGGCAATATAATTAATTATGTTGGTATGTGATAAAATTCATCGGCTGTCACTATTCGGAACACGCGGCCAATAACTCTTATCCAAAATTTGACGAAAATGGTCGATCTGCTTTATTGATCATGTCATTTCTTATATTTTTTTATTTCTTTTTCTTTTCTTTTCCTTTTGGTTTCTATATACTGGCCGTCGGAATACATGTACAATATTTACTTATACCGCTTACTATAGGTGAATGTTATACATTTTGTAATTCAAGGACTAGAAATATAATTGTGTGAAGTCATATCAAATAGCTTCGGAAATTTTTCATATCATTTGACATACATAGTCGGTATGACTATATGTTTATTTCACTGTTTCTTCTAATCTATCAATAAAACTTGCGAAAAAGTCGGCATATTCCGTCATTTTCCGTGTTTTAAGTAATTAGCGTTTTTACAAAACATTTTAATGCCAATTGATTCTTTTTCAGATTTACACGAAAAAAAAATGAAATAACAAAAATACGGAAATAACAAAAATACGATATGGTTTTACTCTTTTAGAAAACAAGCGATGTCTTGAGTAAAAATATACTGACTATTATAACATACTGTATTATATAGTGATTCATCGATTAAAGTTAAAAAAATAGTTACTGATCACCACCGTGACTCATTTTGTGATTTGTAACAGATACTGTACATAGCCTATAGGATTATGCTATGGTATAGTACAACTTGTTTAGACTTGTTATATTTTTACAAGGTTGGAAGAGTTTCCTCCCCTACAAATTGGTCTAAGTCTTTTACTTCGGTTGTTTTGTGATACCCCAATGGGCTTCCTTTATAAGAAATTATGCAAGCACTGTTTGTATTGAGTCTGTTTTTATGAAGATATTTTTTCTTTTCCTTTCAGGAACACAACATATCAACATTCTGTAGACGACGCTAAAAAATCTGTTTTAAAGAGAACGATGTTATTGGTTGATCTGTTATTTTCTGGTTTTGTTACACTCCACAGGGTCACTGTTGATAACATTTGGTCGATTATAAAGAGGACTGCATTACTTAACTGGGCATTATTCCAGTCCGATTTTTTTTTTTTTGGGGGGGGGGTGTTTCTTCCAGGGTGCTTTGATAATGTACTAGGTTTTCTTGGTTGTTTTTAGGGTCTTTTACTTAAGTTCTGTAAAAGTTGACCCAAATACACTTTCAAAGCACCGCGACAGCCCTCTCCCCCATTCCAGCAGTCACGAGCGATCACCTGAGTAGGACCAATAACCTTCTGTTAGTTAGCTGGACATTTTTTCTCACATGAAATGTACTAAACCACTGACAGAAACAGTATTAGGGACCTCTGTCACGTGACCAATGAAAAGGTATTAAACTTCAAATTAAGCGGACTTTGGCAGATATAGAGTGCAAGCAAATATGGACAAATACATTTTATGAATATACATGTAATACTTCTTTATTAGACGGAAGAAAATACTAGGCCATTATGAATTAACGATCACTTTTTTGATTATTATTTCATATATCAACCCTACCCATTTGAGATTATTCATTACACTAATCAAACTTTGATCTATACAAGGTTGTAATTAAAACATGAGAATGCATATTATGATCGTGGTGCTGTCGCAACTTTCCGGCCCTTTCCGTCGGAATTCGGACGACATTTCGGAATTCGGACGACAAAATTATCAATTCGCTTTCTGCAGTATTGTAACAATGATTTGATTCTATAAACGGTTGCTTCAACTTTGATTTTATTACAAAATTGTATTAACACGAGTTTTAGGAAACATTTGAAAATATTTAAAGATTTTTCAATAATAAGATTTAACAATAATTTTCTGTTCTCTATCTCGAAAGCAGCATTCGCTCCAGATTAATTTAGTCAACATTCTTAATACTTATTACTTAACAATATAAAGCGTGTAAATTAAGTAAATTTAAAAAGCTTTAAAAGGAAATGTAGCATTTTAGAACACGTGGCATTTGTTATTTATAGAAACTATGACAATTCAATATTTAACACGTGACATTTGTTACTGTAAGAAAATACGGCAATTTTAACATTGTAAGATCTCATGACATTTGTGGTAGCCATATAACATTCTAAGAACGCTTGGCATTTGTTATTGTTATAAAGTATGGCAATTTATCATTGTATGAACACATGGCATTTGATATTGTTAGAAAATATGGCAATTTAACATGGCATTTGCTATTGTTATAAAATATGCAATTTAACATGGCATTTTTTATTGTTAGAAAATTGGTAATTTAACATGGCATGGCATTTGTTATTGTTAGAAAATATGACAATTTAAAATGGCATTTGTTATTGTTAGAAAATATGGCAATTTAACATGGCATTTGTTATTGTTATAAAATATGGCAATTTAACATGGCATTTGTTATTGTTATAAAATATGGCAATTTAAAATTGTAAGAACACATTGCTTGTACCATGGAGTTCATTAACAAGTATTAATCATATCTAATATATTTTTAATTATTTAAATAAGATAAAAATTTTGGAAACTTACAAACTCTTCTACATGTAGTTATTACATGTAAACAAAATATCCCCTATCAAAACATTCTACTGCTGCTTTTGTAAGTAAAGTGAACATACCGCTCCCTCTAATTAAAATTAACTATCATAATTTAACTTCAATTTTTTAACTATGTACACTTGTATGTACAAATATTCTGTTAAGTATATATTATATTTTGTCCTTAAAATGTTTTTAGCTGTTCTTTTCCTTATTTTTTGATATCTTACCTTGACAAAATTATGATTTTATATCAAAGCATTATTTTATCCAAAAAGTACTATTGTATTGAGTAATAAACTAAAAAATAATAAAGATCGTTTGTTATAAATTTACCATAGAAACACCTTGTGGTGACATTAAGTGGCTTTGTTTCAAAATTCATGACAGTTGCATTTTCGTGTCTAGAAGTTTGGATGATCAATGGTCGTTAGCAACTATTCTTAGTTTCAAATAAACGGCGTTACCGAGTGTTTGCAGTTAAGCTGACTAGTTTGCCAATGGTCCTTTCCCGTGTTCAGTTTAATTGGCTATCCATTTGCTACACTGGAATAATTCAACAGTGACTGGCTTGACTTGAATTTGTTGGTGAGCTGTTGATCCAGCAATGGACAGAAAAATGTTGGGCTAATTTTTTTCACAGCCAAAAACTGGAAAGGTCAAGCTCTAAATGGAACTGGAAGTGATACGATGACGTGTGAGTACGATACTTGTTATAGTATCATGAAGTTATAATAGTCCAGACTGGGACTTAAAGAGTGCAGGAAGTGATATTTTCAGGCTACTCCTCACATATACATGTAGTCACCAGAGATGTTGCCATACGAATGAAAAGTAAATCCCAACAAAATAACAATTGTACACATATCTAGCAATTAAAACGGCACCGCAAAGGCGGGGCGATAGACGCCCGATCGAATATTTGCTTAAAAAATCAAAAGTTATCTTTCAATAAGGGAAGAGACCCGTTCATGAAACTTGTCAAAATGTTTTGCTTTATCCTTGTAATACTAAGTTACCTCATGCGGATGACATTTTCGACCATTGGTGCATAATTTATAAAAGTTCTGTAGTGTTCTACTTGGCAATGTGACATGCAAAATATTATATATATTAACTCACTGTTCATTGCAGCTTTGTTCACACAAAGAGATGATGGATTTTCCTATAAATTAGTCTACATTAAGCGACTCCCAAGGCATGGGCATTTTTTGAACTCAGGGAGAAGGCTGAAATATGATGCTTCATGCTAAATATCTAAGTACTGGACTCGAACCTCCGACCTCCCGATCCAAAGGCGCCTTTACCACAAGGCCAACGGTACCGGCTATATGTCAAATATCAAAGCTCTGGGCATTATTGTTCTAACAACGAAACTTAAGTCTATTTTAATCATCTATTTGTAAGTTAAACCCACATACAGTTTGAAAGTATAGGTCATGTTGCTACAATTGTAAACTAACTGGAAAAAATCAAAGTGGTTGTTGTTGTTTTTGTTGTGTAAGCTCTTTTGTTTCATACATTGATAGTTAAATACTACGTTTCCAATAGAAACCTATATAAACTAAATGGCCCTTGGTGCGGGTCAATATTGTCGCAAGGAGCATCATTAATATCAGTTTTATGGAGGGCCTTTCATGTCAAACATCTAAGCTCTGGGCATTACAGTATCACACAATTCTCTACATATATCAAGTGACCACACGGGGCGAGGCAAACACCAAAGCGTCAGCTTTAGGCATCGTAATTCACCCATAAGACTTAACTGATTTTTCCAGTATATAATTCTATATGAATCAAGTAACCCCTGGGTAGGCCATGGTTAAAATGACTTTACATTGTAGAGGTCCAAAGGCAACATTTCAGGTCAAATATTTAAGTTCTGGGCATTGCAGTTTCACACTTTAAGACAAATTCTATATATAAACTTCAAGCAGTGCCAAATACATTTATCTAAGACTAAGAAATTGTAGTTTCACACAATAAGCCTTAAATTGTGGTTGCTTACAAGTCTATATAAGTAATGACATCCGGGGCGGGCTAATTTTGATCTGAGGAAGCCCAAACCTTGGTACTGCACATCCTGTCATTGTAAGTAGTTTTAATTTCTTTCTACCGGTTCAAAAGATACAGATCGGACACAACATTTTATGATAACTAAAAAAGTGAAACCTGCGCTCTGCCCATCGAGTCATTATTGTTATCATTTCTGACACGGGATTGCTAACAGACGGACGGACGACTGGTGCATAGCGATACAAGTCGCAATTTTGAAAACACTTTTCTATTGAAGTTATATAACGTGTGGAATAAACACGACACATGTGCGCGTGGTATTTAAGTTTCATTTTATGTTCCAGTAAGAAAGTGGAGCCTGCTAACGTCGGTCTGCATTGCACCGCATGTCCGGTTTATAACTAAAAGAAAGTTTGCTTGTACAGTACTGGGATTTAGTGAGGAGGCTGGTCATGACCAGCGTACATGTATGTAATTAGTCAAATCTCTGTGTCAACGTGACTTTGATCACGTAGTTTGTCCAACAGACAAAAGGCTTTGTCTTGCTATACGACGGAATATGGATAGTGGGGCATGTAACTGTAAACAAAACCATAGATAGAATAAGGGGCCAACATCGTCGGACACCAAACATGGGTATCCGACGATAGGGGTCAATGGCCCTCTATTAACAGAAGAAATGGGTCCTTATTCCATTTCATTTCAACCGGACGTCCAATGTTCCTTTTTTGCAAATCATTCGAGTTCCATTCCTACAAAATTCACGTCAGTGCTGTAGGTCACTTGGTTAAAGTTCAGTAAAGGCATGTGAAATGTTTGATAATTAACAAGTTTTTACAAAACCTCTCTGCAGAGCTACACCTTTTGAGAGACTGGTTGTTACAGAGAGGTGTAGCTTTCGATTCGAATCATTTAAATTCTATTTTGGGAAGAATTGATACTATTAATGTAGAGGTTATTGCTCCTGTAATTGTTTTACTGTTGTCCAATTTTGAAATAAGGTGACCAACCAAATCAATTTGACCTTTGAAGTACAAAAAAAATCATATACTGCCCAATGTCCAACCTGTTTATATAAATGTGTTTCTCTGTAAGTCTGTGTAAACGTAGTAACCCGTTGAGTGATGTCAATTTTGACCTCACAAGGGCATCATTTTCTTAACTTTTCTAGATATTGATATCATTAACTACAAGCCTATGCACTGAAGGAAATATTTCAAGCTTCTTTGTCAAATTGACCTTGTATTTTTAAAACCTTTATAATAACTCCAGTTGAAGGCCACCTGGATGGAAGGTCAAAATCCATACCAACTTAGACTCAATATGGACCCAGAAATGCGTTTTTTAATTTCCGTTAAGCTTTTCATTTTTGTTGCCCATTATACTAGAGCTTCCAAAGTTATGCATTAGCCAAAAACCTGGTCCATCATTTCTGCTGTGGCTTTTTGGCAACTTATAGTAAAGTGATAGTGATTGCATATTTTGTATGGAAGCCAAAAATACTATTTTGTTTACATTTTCCTACTTTTATGTAAAATTATTTCACATCAAGCGCTACTTTCTTCAGGTAACAAGCACCTAACATTCTATAAAACCATTATTTAAATGTTATTAAACCAAAGAGAATCACTGTCTGAGTAAGGAATATGGGTTTTACATGAGAAAGAACACGTTCATACATTTTAACTTTATTCAATCAATATTTTTTTTCAAATATAAATTATCAAGCAAACACCAAACTTGACTGAATCCTGACTTTTTAACTTTTTTAATCCACGAATCAATTATTCTCCATGTAAAATAGTTATAGTTGAAATACAAAATTCACATAACAATTCATTTTAAGTTCCACAAAAGATTTTGTCTATTTTTTTAATATTATGGTCCATTCTATTCATCCTCACCTAAATTTACACGAGGCAGGTAATTGTTTCCAAGAGGAAGGGGGTTATTTTCATCTTGAACTGCAATGACAAATAAACAAACATTAGGAAATACAGTAAACAAGAGGGCCATGATGGCCCTGAAATCGCTCACCTGAATATAGAAACTCTTTATGACAAGGAACAAGTAATATTGTAAACTATAAACAAAAGCAGATATAAAATCTAAATCTTAAACTGATATCACAAAGTTCAAATTTGTATCTGAAAAATGTGTGAAAACATTAGTTTTTAATATATACATATAAAGAAAATCAATGATCCCCCCTCCCCCGCTAGTCCAATTTTGATGCCAAGGCTTTTATTTAAAGAAACTTGGTAGACACTTACATGTTTTATGCTAAATATCTAAGCTCTAGCTCTTTGGGTTTTTTTAAAAGCAGATTTTTAAAGTTTTTTCCTTTGGTTGCCATGGCAATCAGAGTTCTGCATGGAATTTAATTCTTTGAATAATTTTTAAAGGTGACCACCAAAGGAACATTTCTGTGAAGTTTGAATGAAATTGGCTCAAGGGTTTATGAGGAGATGTCGTTTAAGTAAAAGGTTATGGACAACGGATGGACACCAGACGAAAAGCAATCACAAAAGCTTACCATGCCACTTTGTGACAGGTGAGCTAAAAAGGTTCCCATGGACATCTTTATACTGCTAAACTTCCAATTTCAATTAAACATTTCTGGCATGAGACACTGGGAATATTTTTATACCATATTTTTACACCATTTACACATACACCATGTAGGTATTTTCTAACATTTTTTGTGCAAACTTTCCAATGATTTTTTCTCTCTCAGTCTGTTTTTCCGAGGATAATCATTTTAACTATGCAAAATGACCTAAACATGAAATGTTTAAATGCTTTTTATTTAAAACATGCGAAGAATCACTCTCAATCTAGATTTTCAGTTAAATTCCAAGTAAAATTCTATATTATCTTTTTTATATTTTTAGTGCCCCAATTGATTTATGGAAGGTTTTTAATTTCTGTTCAAAGTCTTTTGGACCTCAGTGGAGTACCTGTAAGTATTGAAACAAGCAATTCAAAATAATTATTGCTGTCTTAACTACTTTGCATTTGCAAAGTTTAAATAAACTCTAATTGAGATTATTTTGGGAAACAAGTTCTTGCAAGTACATGTAATCTATAATGTTAACTACAGCCAACTAACAGGATGATCACGATAGCTCACCTTTAGCACATAGACTACCAATAGTAGAGACTGTAGACTGTCAAAAAGAGCAGACAGGCTTAATACCGATTAGCGCTTGCAAGAGCCTTTCTTTAAATGCTGATTTCCTGAATTTTCAACAAGAGCTGTCAGAGGACAGCAATGCTTGACAATTCGAAAGAGCTGTCACAAGGGTGTTCCATCGAGTTTAGTAATGCTTAACTATATGAATCAGAAAATTGTCCCAAAAAGGTACAAAGGCTTGTTATTCTATTAAGATGTTTTATAGAGTAAATCAATGCTTATTATGAATGCATAAAATTGTCACAAAAAAGGCACAAACCCTTCAGTAGTTAATTTGTTTTTTGTGTTTTTTTTTAAAATAAATATGCAAAAAAGCAAATCAGAGATATGGGACTTGTGCCAACCAAGTTTCAATTATTTCCCTTCAGTAGTTATGGCGATACCAGCTTAAACACAATAACTTAACTGAGAAAATATGCAAAAGCAAATCATGTTAGATAATCACAGAGAACAAGAGTGTGAAGTTTCAATCCATTCTATTCAGTATTTACGGCGATACCAGCTTACATGTAAAAACTTAATCACAGGGACGCCGAAGCAGACAAATGGGTGACTGCATTAGCTCAAGTATTCTGCGAATAATCGAGCTAAAAATACAAATTTTATTATCTATATATAAACAAAAATACACATTGTTTACCTCCATCTTTCTTTTGTCTGCGCAACTCAACCAACAGTTTATTTTCTACCGAGTCTGGTGCGTATTTGCCCTCTTTCATGTTTTGTGCCAACTTTTCTCTAGCAGCATTTAATTGTTTACGACGGGCTATTCTTTCTGCTCTTGATCCATTAAAACTATCCCTACAATCATCAAAATATACTTCACTTGTTAGCATGCCTATTGTGCAAGCATACATGATGTAAATTATCTTATAAAATCAAACAAACATGTGTCACATACCCAGTAAATATTTCAAAGTTTGTCATATGATATTCATTTATAATTCATTTAAGGCATGTCAATAAAAAATTATTCATTTTCACTTTAAAAAGTCTTTAATTTTGGTATTTGATAAATATACCCATGTATACATTCATGCTCATTACTAAATTTATTGAAGTCGTTGAATAATTAATATTATGCTGGACAGAGGCTCGCAGCTGATGCATAATATAATTTTCCAGAGGCTCGCATAATATAATTTTATACAACTCGTTCAATAAATTTAGTATTGAATCTACAATCTTAAAATATCATCTATATGTTTGTTTTTTTTTTTTAAAGATGCTGAACATGTATGTTGTAATTAAAGTTGTTACCAAACTTAAGTGAAATTTTATATATGTTTATAATTATGCTTCTAAAACAATTTTCAAACATCAAAGAATATGTAAAATATCTACTGCAAATATTTGCCCACATTGTATGTAATCATTAAAATATATGCATTCATTTCTTATTGAAAAATTTGTCTTAGACTTTATAGAAAATAAATTTCTAATAACCTCCCCTTATTAACATGAAATGTAAATTAGGTAATATCTTTACAAATAATGCTTTTTGGAACTTACAATATTAATAAATCTTCATTTGAACATTGTATTTTTGACATAAATTCATAAACAAATTGAGTTACAGGCTTTTTGAGAATTTTTCATAAGTTATACAGCTTTACACTGTAAGAATTCACTAATTTCCCTCTCACCTCATCCCCCCATAAACATATTGATCATAATTCCCTCTCACCTCATGCCACCCAAAAACATATTGATCATAATTCCCTCTCACCTCATACCACCCAGAAACATATTGATCATAATTCCCTCTCACCTCATACCACCCAGAAACATACTGATCATAATTCCCTCTCACCTCATACCACCCAGAAACATATTGATCATAATTCCCTCTTACCTCATACCACCAAGAAACATATTGATCATAATTCCCTCTCACCTCATACCACCAAGAAACATATTGATCATAATTCCCTCTCACCTCATGCCACCCAGAAACATATTGATCATTGGATCCGTTACATCTGGATCTATAGTCTGCATAACACTGTTCTCCAAAAAAAACAAATCGGTCGAAATGTTTGCTCCAGCCAAAAACTCGTCATAGCTACCATCTGAATTATCTAATGGAATAGCACTACCAATTCCTTTTCTGAAAACATAAAATACAATAAATAACAAGAGCAATTTAGAGCAATTGTATCATCATCATAATGAAGTCGGGGAAAGGAAAACTGAATCATTTGACTGTCTCATTAACAAGGCACCTATACCATATCCTTTTATAATCTGCGCGGGGCAGAAAGCAAATACAAAAGAATGATGATCCAGAGTTTATTTTCTTCTAACTTGTTGCATTTCAATTCAATGATTTTCATTTCTTTGTATATATCTATTATCAATCACTAACATGGGTAAAAGTTAGAAATTGACAAAATTCTGAAAATATTGAATTTAGCATTAGTTTCCTGTCTAGTGCTATAAAATGAAAAGAGGGCTTTTGGACTAAACTAATAATCCTGCATACTTTTACCAATGTATTGATAAGTATTGTCACTTTATTAAAACTACACACACATGAGAACTTTGCATGTACTGATCGTTTTGTGCTCCTGTTGACAAATGAAATACCAACAATTATTGGGAGTCTCTGAAACAGCTGTTTGCAAGATGACACGCACCTATTCTTAGTGCTTGACAGTACGAAATGGGTCATTTATATGTAAAAAGGTGCCTCAGAGTTATTGGTCCTGTGCCCATCACGTGTGATAATCACGGAGAATAAGTGTGTGAAGTTTCAATCTATTCCCTTCAGTAGTTTTGGAGACACTTGCACACAAAAACTTAATGCCATGGTGATGACTATAATGACAGCAGGGTGAGTACATTACCTCTAGTCTGCCTACTCTTCAAATAGTGGTCCACTAAACATAGTGGAATTCACAAAATCACAAAGCCTAGTCACAACAGCTTTAACCATTACTTTTTAATAAATATGGTTTTCTCTCTCTAAATTTATTTTAATTTTGTATTGTGGTATAGGTCGCTGAATTTGAACAACTTGCCCCTTATTACTGTGGGTTCAAATCCCATATGGAACTTCGGGTTCTTTCTCAAACTAGCTAAAGTAATACAAGTGGTTTCTTCTGAGGTACCTGCTTGTGTCTTAAATAATGTTCGGAAGGACACCTTCATCAGTAAAGCCGTAAATGCACCACTTGACCTTTAAAGTGTTAGCGTGACATCAAACCCCAAAAAGTAAACAAAACTTATATGTATATTACCCTGCTGGAAATGCCAACTTCTTAATCCTTTCATTGACATTCACTTTAGATTCTGTCGTCAAATTCCTGCAATAAAAACACAATTATTTTTTTTTACTTTTAAGCCATTTATTTCTTACAGTAAATACCACTAATATAGTTTAAGGGTTTAATAACAGCTGTGCATTTAAAGGCACAATGTCTTAGATACAAATAAATATTTCCATCTTTAGAAAGGGTAAACAAGTTTTATAATGTGTATAAAATGGTTCTTGAGCATGTTCGACGCTTATCACCTTAAGACATTAACTCTGAATGTGTAATTATTTATAAATATAATAAAAAGTAGCAAAATGTAAATCAAGTAGAACATGTTGTTTGACTTCAATACAAAATACTTAATCACTATAACTGTACTAATTGCCAAAAAGCACCAGAAGCAGAAGATGGGTTAGGTTATTGGCTAATAAATACCCTTTTGAAAACTTATAACAGGACAAAAAAAGTTAAAGCTTTGAGAAATAAATATTAAAACATTTCTGGGGCATAATGGGCCTTTAAGAACAATTCAAGGTCTGTAATTTGTAAATCAAACAACCTCTGCCAGTAGAACAGCACGCTGAACATTTTTGTGCTTGTTGGTAAATCAAAAGCTTGAAATTATTCAATGTTTATTAATACATGCCAAATATTTAACTCTTAGTATGACTCTAAACAAGATGTACTTATAGAGGACCACAAGGTGATGCAAAATTCTATGGGAAGATAATTCTTGACCTTGTCTTATATGATGTGGGGGATGATAAACATGTCTTTGATGTTTGGCATTCAAATTTTAAGACATAAAGAAATTATGACATTGAACAAAAAATACCTCAGTCACTAACGTGGAAAGGACTTCCATGGGCAGTGATTTTTCTCACATTGGGAAGAGGCCTTAGCCTCTTGATTTTGGGAAAAATTATCGCTAAAATTGCTGGTTTGGGAAGTAAAAAAACAGGTTTAAGTTCAGTTATTTTTAGGAAAACTGCATGATTTTAAAGAAAATTTCAATTGGGAAGAGGCCTTTCATTGGAGTCTGTTATATAAGCAGGAAAATCACTGAAGGGTGAAGTTAAGTGGCTTATAAATGGCTTGATAGCTCAGTTGGTTAGACAACTGTCTGTCACTCCTGAGGTCCCGGGTTCGATCCTGGGTAACACCCTTGGAATTTTTTAGAAATACTATCAGTGTTTCCCACCTACCCAGAGGTGTACTAGTATGAAACCCAGGTAATTCTCTTATGTATCAGTGCTATACATTGGGCATGTAAAAAGAACCAAGGGATCTATTCAACAAGAGCTAGGGACTGGTTCCCTGATTTCCTTTGAATATCATAGCCGTCTCTAGTGTCTGCTAAGGTGAGGACCATACTGTAAATAAGTGTGTGCACTTTTGTAGGCTATCATTGATCGCCCGGTCCAAAGAAAAATCATCATCATCAAAGGGTGAATTTGCTTTACAAAGCACAAAGATACCTTCAACTTCTATTTATACTAAATAGATCACTACTGGTACAACATGCAGTATGAAAAACTTACTGCAGGAAGGCTGTCATCTTCTTTTCCCTCTCCTTCATAAAATAGTAAGTAACAACACCGCTTATAGCAGATCCCACAAGGCCAATCGCTCCATACCTCCTAAACTTGGCATCAAAATGACCTTGTAACACCAACTTTTCTGCCATCTGAAAAAGCAACAAATAGTTGACAAAATAACCCAGTTTCTCCACTTCAGGGGTGGGGAAGAAATGTGTTTATCAGATGGTGGTGGGAGATTGGGCCTGGGCACAAATATTAGACCTCCATGTTTACACATTTGAAAGTATTTATGTTAATTTTCATTCCCAAACATTCTGACGATTCTGTTTAAAGATAATGACAAGGTTTATCAGAAAATCCTACTTATAAAAATTACCTGTGAATTTTATTAATTCAAATAGACTTATGCCATATAAAAAACAAGGTGAGATAGAGTTTTAAAGATTATCCATTTTCTCATATTTTGATTGCAGTGAAATCTCCATAGTCTATCAAGATTCACTGCAATCAATTAACATGATTGATAGCAATGTCTTTAAGTAAGACTCTTTAAGTTTACTTCATTTAACACAAACAATAAATAACTAACTAATTCCTTGTTAAAAGTGTAAAACAGTCTCATAATTCCTTGTTAAAAGTGTAAACATAATTAAGCCTGTGATGTGTCTTGGACCAATAAATTGTCTCATGATATAAAACGGCCCTGCTTCTATATGAGCGGATACAACTCTCCATTAAAAATCACCCAGTTAATAACTGTTCGGGACTTGTACATTTATTGGCAAACATAACCTTTCTTTCATCTTTTGTAATCATGAAATTGAAATAAAAAGCAGAAATTTTGGCCCCACTTCCTCACAATAAGCCCTTAAAAGTTAAATACAGGAAATACATTTGTACAATAGCAAATTGAAGTACCATGGCTAATTAAATACCCTAGCTGTTTTTGCAGCTCCGAAAAAAATGGTATTGCATGGCAGTGCATATATTTTAATGTGACATCATGATCATTTGCATTACATAAATGTGGCGGTAAGAGGCACTAAACATTAGTTTATACTATAGGTACATCCACGAAAAATGGTACTTTTTCACTTCAACCAGTCTTTGTTTTTGGTATGTGATAAACAGGTAATATTAAATTTGTGCAAGTTCATCACTGAATTTATTGAACTTATTGAATAGAATATTATGCTTGCCAGAGTAGAATATTATGCTTGCCAGAGGCTTGCATAACATAATTTTATTCAACTTGTTCAATAAATTCAGTATTAAACTTACACACATTCAATATCATCTTATTCTACATAATTATTAATTAATATCAGTTCATGTTTTCGCAACTTGTGCAGAGGGTAGTTCAAATGTAAAAACATGGATTTCAAGAATTCAATGTAACACTTTATCATGCCTTTTCAGCGGTCAAAAAATCTGCACTACCCAGACAATATAATCTATAAAAGTTAAAACTCAACTGGTTTTAATAATCCATTTGTAACTTCATAAAAATTTAAACATGATGTCATAAAAATTCATCAATCAATGTACAACAGCAAATTATACTATTAAAACACTGCATTCATCTTTTGCTGTCAACTGGATACAACTTCTGTAGCCAGTAGTTCACCGAGTCCAATCGTTCACTATGTTTCCCAGGCGGAGAACGCATGAAGAGATAAATTTTACAGGTGGAAAACCGATACTGTGGTAAGAAAATTGTCTTCAATTTCTTTGAAAAGGCATATTTCACAAAACTTTATAGCCTATTCTGATCTCGTATGATTACTTTATCCGACAGGCATCTCAAACTCGCAAAATCTTTGTTAACTTATTAGATCATTATCGACAACTGCACAAGAAAAGTCACAAAATTGGTAAAATCGCTCTTTGATAGCCAATAACTTGACATCCAAGCACACGTCTAAACATTTGTATCGCTCTAAAGGTTCTTTATTAACATATCCTCATCCACCAAAAGCCTGATCTATTTCTATTCCGTATTTTTGGAGTATAATATCGTTTAAGCGAATTGTCAAAATGAACGCATGAGCCGAACTTTTCATGTGGTTTCATCAGATTGCAAAATGAACGCATGAGCAGGCGGACTTTTTGGTTACTCCAGCTTTCATAGATATCTGACATGTTTTCGATCACGGAACCTTTAAATTCCAAAATTTTTGTTCCAAATGTTTGAGCAAACAGAAGGCCCTATTTTCATACCTTATGACGAATTGCTTATAAGCAATAGGTGAGGTCTGTTCGGTTCTGTGAAAATATAATAAATTGTCATTGCTAAAACTTTGAGTAAAATATTTGCAAACTACAACATCATTGGTTGATGGGACTTAAATTTCCTGTATGTTATAATTAAAGATGCATCATACACTTAAAGATCCTGTGACTCAAAATTTTATGTTCTTATAGGAAAAATCTTTGGCTTAAATAAAGAATTAACAATGTTAAAAGTTACAGAAAACCTTTTTGATAAGGACATTGCCAAAATTTAAAATTTCCGATAATAAAAGGAGATAACTAGAAATCTGTTTTTGGTAAAAAAAATCAGTTTTGCGTTCAACTAAAATGTCACAACCTTTTTTCCTCAAGAAATATCATATAATGTGTTGAATAAAGTCAACTTCTTAAGTATATGTTTTTCATAGAACTGATTTTATATACAACTTTCGCAAGGATATTACATCCTTAATTATAACATACAAGATCTTTAAGCAAGAATATATATATATATCACCTTCCTTACAACAAAATGAACATACAAGAAAATGTTGAAATAACACATAATTTTTAGGTTCATTATAAGTTTTTTCTTTTAGAAATAATACACTTTTTTATTTTAATGAAGAAAATCAAAAAGTGTTTCTAATTACCTCCCTTTATTTACAGAACTTGTTAAATTCGATAATATCTATGTAAGATTTGTAATATTGGTAATTCTTTATTTGAGTATCAGGTTTATCATATGGCGTCGTATTCTTCCATATTCTGTAATATTGATAAAAAATACATTTCATTCTAAGTGATAAATTTTGTGTTCTTAGGTGAAATGGATCAGCTCTCTTCTACGCAAATTTTTTATCTGTTTAACAAGTACAACAGCAATTCCGTATATATTATGTACAAGACAATTTGCACAGTGCAATTATTATTTCTTACCAAATCATAAGCATGTCGACATGCTACATAAATTTCGCATTAAAATGGCTTTAATTTAGTTATCAATGATTTGTACCTTTACCAATTGCTTTGCATTGGACGGCATATAGAACTATACACTACCAAGATTTACTGGGCTTACATAAACATATTCTATAAACTTGTAATTCGTCGTTTAAAAAAAGAAATTTATATCGAAATGTTGAATATTTAAACGTGATTCGTGTATAATATATTTTCATATGCCTCATGTACTAAAAAAACAGGGAATAAATAATTGTACAAAATAACATGTATTGGAGAAATTCATGAAATTACATCAATGCTACAACCGTTTACAAGTTTTCGAGGAACTATTATGTTTTTCTTTGTCGTCTTAACCACTGCTTTTGCAAATATTACAAACGAGGAATTACTTCAATTGTACACGATCTTTCCCAACAGACCTCGTAATTTATATATATATATATATATATATATATATATATATATATATTATATATATATAAAGAGTATGTTTTGGGAAATGCAGAGTACAAAGTTCGTTAATTTTTTATACGTTTATTTCTGTATTTAACAGAAATAAACGTATAAAAAATTAACGAACTTTGTACTTTGCATTTCCCAAAACATACTTTTTTTATACATGAGATCCACACAAGGAATCGAAGTTCTTTTATATATATATATATATATATATATATATATATATATATATATATATATATATATATATATATATATATATATATATATATATATATAGCATACAAAGTATATGCATGTTAGTGCCTGCAACTGCCATCCTTTTATTATATTATCAGCATAATATTAAGAGGTTAACTAGTTACGTAACTAAAGCTGATAATAAGGGATGGCAGTTGCAGGCACTAACATGCATTTATTTCGCGTTATGATCTTTTATTTATTGAAAAAAAATAACTATAGTTACGTAACTATTTAACCTGATAACTAACGTTAACTAGTTACGTAACTTGTTAACCTCTTAATTAACTAGTTAGTTATCAGGTTTTTTGGTGGAAGAAATATGCCACCATACTCATTTATTTGGAATAAAATTTGAAATTTTTAAAGTTTGAATATGTAAAATTTGTTAGATAATTAGGAAAAAAATGAGTTTTAAAATTACCACCTGCTCATGCGTTCACTTTGCAAACCTATGAAACCACATGAAAAGTTCGGCTCATGCGTTCATTTTGAAAATTCGCTTAAACGATATTATACTCCAAAAATACGGAACAGAAATAGAACAGGCTTTTGGTGGATGAGGATATGTTAATAAAGAACCTTTAGAGCGATACAAATGTTTAGACGTGTGCTTGGATGACAAGTTATTGGCTATCAAAGAGCGATTTTACCAATTTTGTGACTTTTCTTGTGCAGTTGTCGATAATGATCTAATAAGTTAACAAAGATTTGGCCAGTTTGAGATGCCTGTCAGATAAAGTAATCATACGAGATCAGAATAGGCTTTAAAGTTTTGTGAAATATGCATTTTCAAAGAAATTGAAGACAATTTTCTTACCACAGTATCGGTTTTCCACCTGTAAAATTTATCTCTTCATGCGTTCTCCGCCTGGGAAACATAGTGAACGATTGGACTCGGTGTAGTTGCTGGTCCCGTTATAATTTATCAAGCAGTTACTTCCAGTTTGGCAAGGACATGCAAGGTGGGGTCAGGGTCTGACCTAGTCCTAATAATAAGACCTATACGTAACCTATTTCATATTTATCATTCATTAATCTGATATTTTACATTTTTCATTTTCCATGTTACGTTAGGTCTTAACAGATCTTTGCAAAATCGTGTAGCAAAAAAATTGACATTAGACATCGATTTAGATCTAATGAATTTAAACAATTAAAACAGCGTGTATTTACATTAATTTTGACCTATTTATAAACAAAACTAAAAAATGAATACCTTTTAACAAAATAATTGAACTGTCACATCCGAAAAGTCATGATTAAATCCTCTCATTTAATTAAATTCCTTGTACAGCCGATATACAAATGGCCGCCATACAGTGCGCGAAATCTGATTGGCTAATTCAAATGCAAGCGTTTAAATGATTCCAGAAGTTTCTAACGGAATATTTTTTCAACGAAATAATTGCCCATGCACCGTCAGTGTGTTCGAATATATTTTTCCGTTCAAAAAATTGGAATCAATCTGTAAAACGCTTTACTTAACCAGTATGGCCGATGAGCAAAATAGACTGATATTTATATTTAATTTTCAATTGATAATTTCATTGTTTGAAAGTTTTTGTTAATGATAGACCATGCAATTGAAAGAACAGAAGATAAGCTTTTGAATAAAGCTTGAAAGGCAAGTCAACAGACATTTTTTTAATTTTTCAAAATGCTACGCGTTTATGAGCAATAACTATTAGACGTCAGGCTAGTCCAACTAATTGTACTGCGCGACGAGATATTGTGCTATTTTCGTGTCTGGGCAATATCTCGCCTCTACGTACAACATAAAAAGTACCTTTTCTGTGGTGAAATTTGCGCCGGGATTTTGAGCGCAAGCTTTGGGCCGTGTAAAATCGTATTATAATTCATATTTGAATAAATTTGTTACGATACCTTTAAAGAGTATTCATTTCTACATCAATTTCATGTTTTATTTGTGAAAATCTTCCTAACATAAAGATTTTGATAGAAAAGTAAACACATGCACCATCAAAATACAGACATCGCCGCTAATGTCACGTGACAAATACACTGTTGATAACTACACTGGTGTGTATGCGGTACTGCGTTACTGAGAAACGACGAAACACTCTTAGTAAAATATCAAGATTAATGTTATATTTAAGACATTTATTTATGCAAAAATTAATAATTATGATAGGATGGAAATATTACTTTATTGGAGCAGATGCACAACTTATTCGTTATTGTCAGAGCGTTCTTAGAAATATCAAAATCATTATTATCTTTTATAGAAAAGCTACTCCTCACTAAACCGTTTCTTGTTTATAAAAAAAATATTTTGGTCAGCTTTCCAAGTAAATATAAGACATGGGACCTATTGGTATCTATAGAATTTTTTTTCCACGATTATGATGGAAATAGGGATATGATAAGAGCAGAAACATGAGGTTTATATGTTTAAAGAGCAACGTACGGATTCCTAGTGCATTTGGGGCTACGAGAAAACACCATTCTAAGGAATTTAACAGTCTGTTATTTATAATCAGGTTGATTAACTATTAAACGATACTTTCAATGTTCAAAATAATTTTTATCAATAATAAAACGAATAAGCGTCAAACGCGGTGCCTCGACATTATACATGTATGTGCGAAAACAAAATTCCACGTAAATTTCTTTTTTTATATCTTATCCACGCAGGCTCATAATTCTGGATAGTTTTCTCCAAAAAGCTTTCTGAAGATGTTTTTTAGAAAGAAAAAGACACACACAAACGAAGGTTTAAATTGTTTTAAAATGACCGGGGTAGCAGAGAAAAAATACTCGGAAATTTATTTCATGAAACAGGTGCCCCCGCCTTATTTTGCTGTTGTTATTGTTTTTTGTTTTGTTTTGCAAAAGACTTTCATAATGTTGGTATACAGTAAATATTTATCCCATACAATTGTTTTTTATGCTAAGAAATTATTTTCTTTTATAAAATACATGCATGGCGAAGTGAGATTTGAAGAATCAACGCGGTTATTTTACAATGTTACATAAACAAAACGCTGCGCCGCTAATTTCTTTCACAGACACTTTGGAGCTTTAAAATCCAAATAAAATGTATATTTGTCAATACCAGCACATGTACTGATCATATATGTATAAAAAACTAAATATAAGCCATTTTGGAAAAAAAATATATTTCAACGTCTATAATAATACACAAGATAAAAATGTTCGCCGGAAAAAATCCGCACACCTGCCGTCAAAAACACCATGTATTTTATTCTGTTTCCAATATTTTCACAAAATCCTTTGGTCCATCGACACAAAAGATATAAATCTTCAAGATGATGGTCAATTTTAAACTTCAACGGTAATATAAACAACGCAACTGGCAAAATAAACATCGAGATTATCGCCGTTTTACTCCATTTACAAAATCTTTCGACAAATTCAAACGTGGCTCCATATACATTTTATTTGGATTTTAAAGGCGTTTTGAGCTTCACACCCCAAGCGTCTGTGATTTCTTTGATTCTTGTCCAATCTTATAAGATTTAAGGGTTATTCAACACTATTACTCATTTTAAACATACTATGATGCCCAAATATAAAAGGTGTTGCTTTGGAAAACGAGCTTATAAAATCGGTAATAAATCACGGCGCCTCCTCAGTTCTTTTTTCTATATATTTTTTTTTTTTTTGAGTTTTTGATCAACGAAAATTAATTAATTAATTAATTAATTAATTAATTAACGAAAATTAAGATTTTAACCTTCCAGTAAATTTAGAAAGAAAACCAGAAAAAAAGTTTCTAATAATTAAATGCCACAACTCAAAACTTAAAAAGTTGGCATATCTTGCGTAAATTCAAAGCATATTAGTAAGCTGAGGAAACTCGGGACCGTAACACATTTAAATTCTTAACACCGTTTAAACAACTTTCATAAATGTATTATAGAAAGAAATTTAAGCATAAAATTATCGTCTTTGAAATAAATCATCAAGTATATTTATAATTATAAATTGAAAAATAAATACATGTAATACAATCTAAAAATAACTTCTTCTCAATTTGGACCGTTTCAGCAACTGATTCCGGAAAGGAATCACGGCTCGAATTTAAAAAATCAAATTTATTTATTTAAAACTTAATCTTATAAATTTATAGTTGACACAAAGAAATTAAGTAAGGAAGAAACATGGCTGCGCATCAATTATTAATAGTGTCAACATTTCCGAAGTGTATATTGGCCAGCGTACCGGTGTCCGCGTTGTGGAATACATGTAGTTGACACATTTTAAAAATAAATATTAGGTTGAATATATTTTCTATACCGGGACAAAACTTTTCTGCAAAACTTTTCTGGAACATCGCTTAAACAACACCAAATATCCAGGCCATTACGGCATGCTATGATAACAGTCTTTTATTACACGGATAAATGGTACATGTACACAGGTTCTTTCAGATACAGACAAACGAAAAATGGGTGCTCGGAGTAACGAGTTCTATTTTTCTGAAAAAAGTTGAGGAATGAAAAATTAACGCAAGAATTTACCATTTGAATTCTTTCATAGCGTAATGCACGTTTGAAAAACAAAACTTTCCTATAGGCAAGGAGTTTCTGTTTTTAATACACAGCAAGTTGTGACTAACATAATTATACTAACATAGATAATACTACAGAGTGATGACAATATACATTTTAATGAAATACAGAATTTTTGTTTATCCTTAACCTTTAATAAACATATTTATAAAAAAGAGGACTAAATTAAAAGTTCCCCCGCATCATTTTAAAGATTTCTATCATGAATTACAAAAATATTTAAAGATAATTTCCTGGCGATTTATTTTATTGTAGCAATGAATATAATTATTAATAACATCATTTAAGAAAAATTTCCACTTTTTAATAGTTTTACATATTTTTTTAGCCACGCAAAAAAAAAATGACAACATTCACGCACGGTACCGAACAATATCGATTTTTAGCGTACATGTTACATTACTGTAGCAACATCACAATATGGCGGCGTTGTTACACAAATGAGACGGTGAAATGAAACTAACGTGGTTTACTTTATTCTAAGTTGATATACTGGCACTTTTTATGCTGTTAATACCTTAAAATTGTATTGTTGAATAAATTCTTGGTTTAAATTGTCTGCATTTTCACATTTACATCGAAATCCACGTTTCACCACAGAAAGGTCTCCTTTAGGTTTTGACGTTAAAGCGAGATTCTGCCCCAGAACGAAAATATCTCAGAATCAAGCTTTGGCACGTCAATATATTTTGACTAACGTCAGGCTTGACCAACATAAAACTATAACAAGCCTGTAACGTCTAATCTATTGGACTAGGTCTGACCCATCCCCCCATTGTCCGAGATTTCTAAACAAATTCAATTTTCTAAACCTATAACTCTCAGCAACATATAGAATCTACTGTATTCTCAAACTTGTGCTGTTCATGCATTTTGTCATGTTAGCAATTTATTGGTGGTGACTGCTTTCTGTAAAACATGTATAATTTAGGATAGTTTTAAGTCAATAAATCGATGAGTAATTACTTTTAAGACCAATTTTTAAAAATAAAATGGATTTAATAAAAGGCAAAATAAAGTTTAAACAGAATATTTTAAATCCATTCTGACCTTGTAGGTTGGTGGTCGCCGTAACGGAAGCGAATTGTTATTTTGACTGTGCACAATTTTGTAACATAATGGCGAAAAGATCATTTTCACGAAAAGAACAATATTTATAAGAAAATTTAAAAACACACAAAAATTCGTTAGGACCCTAAAAGTTATATTTTGAATAAATAATATAGGTACTAGTCTATGTCTTTAATTTTCACACGTTTCTCCGGCTTTGCTCTCCAGAGTTCAGTTCCTTGCACTTAATTCTGATTTTCTATATAAATGCAGTTGATAAAATAAATCATTTCCAACAGCCTATCTGATATTTATTGTCTAAATTATTTTATGTAGCTTACAGGTAGAACTTACAGGGTTTGTTCTCAAATCGGGGTATTTCATATTTTCAAAATATACGCCATGATCCAAAACATGCCTTGCCAAGTTGCCAACCTCGCTCTGATGACGTCATCAAATAAACTACGTCATGTTCAACCTCCCGGGAGAGTTGTCATTCTTCCTAGCATAAAACAAGGTCTATAATGGTATGCTTATGAAATGCAAGCCGGTTACCTTGTGCAAGAAATTGGGGATACTTATGGAATCAATATATATATTTTTATACGAAAATGATTTACAGTATAGTTTGCATGTGTGATGACATTCACTGATCTATTGTTTCCCATTGAAAAATGCTATATAGGACCCTAAGATAGGCCTATCCATGGATCCCAGAGCATAAAGTCAGATAAAAGATATTAACACTCGGATGTAATATTTATTAATTAAGTATACTGTATACAATGTGTATAATTTTCAGATAAATAACTCTGACGCATAGATAACCCTGACACTTGTTAAATATAATTGTTATAACTTTATTTTTCAACAAACAAGCATACAGTATGAACACCTAGTAGATATAGTATAGGAGCCGAGGACAGAATGTGATGATTTTTTGTAAGTTGGTAAACTTTTTGTTATTTTTCAAATAACCTTAACTTTTCGTTGGCAAAAACTGCTTCAAAACATTACAACAAGGAAGTTAGAATTGTATTGACCAGGCCAGTGGCGGCCACTGACTTGGGCAAGATTTTTGAAAAATTGTTTTTATATCAGAAAAAAAAAAGATAAAAAATATAAGACGTAAAAATAAATTATTGATGTTGATTTTCTTGTCACATTTTACTTAAAAATTTAAGCGTCGACTTTATCTACTGTTGTACGGAATGCCGTTAGGGCCATTGCCTATGAATGTGTTGATCTGAAACGCGATAGTCGATAGTACGATGATGAAAACGCGAAATCACGAAACTACGATGGTGAAAATGCGAAAGCACGATGATGAAAACGCGAAAGTACGATGATGAAAACGCGACAGTACGATACTACGATGATGAAAGCGCGATAAACTATCGTGTTTTCACCATCGTACTGTCGCGTTTTCACCATCGTAGTTTCGTGATTTCGCGTTTTCATCATCGTACTGTCGTGTTTTCATCATCGTACTATCGCGTTTTCACCATCGTACTATCGCGTTTTCACCATCGTACTATCGCGTTTTCATCATCGTACTGTCGTGTTTTCATCATCGTACTATCGCGTTTTCACCATCGTACTGTCGTGATTTCATCATCATACTATCGCGTTTTCATCATCGTACTTTCGCGTTTTCACCATCGTAGTTTCGTGATTTCGTGTTTTCACCATCGTACTATCGACTATCGCGTTTCAGATTAAGACATTCATAGGCGATGGCCCTTACGGCATTCCGGAATGCCGTTAGGGCCATCGCCTATGAATGGTTTGGTCTGAAACTCGATACTCGACAGTACGATGATGAAAACGCAAAATCACGAAACTACGATGGTGAAAACGCGACAGTACGATGGTGAAAACACGATAGTTTATCGCGTTTTCATCATCGTAGTATCGTACTGTCGCGATTTCATCATCGTACTATCGCGTTTTCATCATCGTGCTTTCGCGTTTTCACCATCGTAGTTTCGTGATTTCGCGTTTTCACCATCGTACTATCGACTATCGCGTTTTAGATCAACACATTTATAGGCGATGGCCCTAACGGCATTCCGTATGTTGTGGGGTAAAAAGACTATGTTTTGTATAGCACAGTCAGGACCTTAAAGAAGTGCCAATTTCCATTTTCATACATAATTTTTGTAGTGTAATGTAAAGTCTCTTGAACTTTGTTTAGGTTGTTCAATATTTAAAATATACAGGAAAATAATTAAGATATTGCAAAAAAATGCTGTTACTCACTGTGGTATGGTTATGATGGACTTACAAAAAGCATTTGATAACGTCAATCATGATATTTTGTGTGATAAATTAGATATATTATGTGTCAAATCCATTTCTTGGTTTAAATCATACTTGCCAGGAAGATATCAAAAGTAACTTCAATTGAAAAGTAACTCAATTCCTGTTATATGTGGAGTCCCTCAGGACAGTATTTTGGGTCGTCTTCTATTTCTCTGCTACGTTAATGACACGGTAACTAGTATTGATTCTGATTGCAAGTTGCTTTTATATGCAGATGATAGCACATTATTGTTTTCGCGTAAGGACCCTAAAACTGGGAAAGGGTTTGGAACGATGCTCTGATCGGTTAGTTGACAATAAATTATCTCTACATCTGGGCAAGACTGAATGTATATGCTTTTGGTTCTAAATCAAAAATTTAAAAAAAATCCATTTCATGTAATGATCAAACAATAAAGTCTTGTCTGAAGTTGAATATCTTGGTTTGAATATCAATTGTTAACTATCAGGAGATAAAATTGTCAAGAGCATTGTTTCAAAGGTGAATGGAGGATTACATTTTCTATACCGCTACAAAAATTGTTTATCAGAAGAAATAAAGAAACAATTGTGTCCTGCCCTTTTACTGTGTCACTTTGATTATTCTTTATCTTCTTGGTACGAAGGACTGAGTAAGTCACTGAAGCACAAACTTCAAGTAGTTCAAAATAAGGTTATGCGTTTTATAAATGACTATACCCCGAGGGCGTCTGTGACAAATAAGGTTCTGTCGGATCTTATAATATTGAATGTCGATGATAAAGTTAGACAGTTAAGACTTAACCACATTCATAAAGTATATTATAACAAAAGCCCTTCTTATTTACTTGACTTGTTTAAGGTATGTAGAGTATCCAACTTAAGATCTAGTAATTTTAATTTTGTTTTGCCTCAAAATGATTCTCATGTTATACAAACACATTTTTCTACAATGCAACAAAAGACTGGAATTCTTTACCAGACAGCATTAGGTCAATCGAAAATATACAAACATTTAAAACAAACTAAATCTTTTCTTAAATAATGAAAATGATAAACAAGTGAAAAATATGTTTATTCATTATTTAATTGATGTGTATTTTATGATAAGGTTTTGTAACATGTTTATGTTGTATTTGATAATATATTAGTTTTCAAATACGGATTTTATTTCAGTTTGTTAGTGTACAGTGTACTTTTCTTATCATATCGAAAATGTGTCTTGATTGTTAAACAATTTTGCAAACTTATGTTATAATTGTATCTCAATGATACATTTATTATTATGTAAGTTAGTGTGATAATTTTACATTAAATGAACCCCATTGGAAATAAGCTTTTAGCTTAATGGGCAATCATATAAGGCAACATAAAACTATCTTTTTTGTTGCTTTTGTGTGTGTTTTTATATATATGCAAGTTGATATATAGGTGATACTATATATTGTCAAATAACAAAGAGAAATATTTTATTATAGGAAATTCATCAATTCACATTAACGATTACAATAATTACAAATAGAATCTATGTAAGTTATTATTTACATTTCACAATTTGCAAATAAATATGAAGAGCTACCAGGCTTTGTTAAAGAAGATGATATCTATGTAATATAAAATTTCTAGAGATATAAATCTGCAAGTATTTTTTTAGTAAGAAATAACTAATAAAGTAAATGATCTAAAGTGATCATAAAACTTGGTTTATAAACACAGCATTTATTTAAGTTTGAATGTGTAGTAAGAGCTCTATAAAATCTTCCTGCTGAGTAATAAGTAATAAAGTTTCCTACTCAAAGAAACAACGACGTACGTACTAGCCCCTGACAGGGTTTGTATCCATGCATTTAGCGATTATATTAGATTACTAGTCCGATCGAAAACAATTCGAGGAGTGGTCATTTTATGTTAAAGCTAGCAAAAACCAAATAAGCTTAAAATAACTTTCATACAAAATCAATCATCCATCACTGAATTTTTGGAACCAGTGCAATTACCGATACCAAAAATGACAATATCCATCTAATCAACATTTTTGTCCGGTGGGTAGCTCGAAAGGTAATGAGATATAAACTTGAAATTCAATGTGTGGATAGATCTCATTGAAGAGAAGTAAAGTGCACAAGAATGATATAATTCTCCACTTCATCATTTTCAGTTATTGCCCTTGGTTTATATTTTTGCATAATTTTTTATCTGAATCAGAAATTATACAGTGCATGTATTTAAAATATCCAAATAACACTTCAGAAGTGGATAGATATCATTGAATGGGAGTGCAGTGCAAGTATATTGACCAAACACTTCTGTTTTCTTTTGTTTCTTTTCTTGCATTTTTGCCCATACCATAACTAACTAAAATAAAGTGTTAGAGATGTTACTTTGAAACTTGGTTGAAAGATAGATTACAGTTAAGAGGAATGCAGTTGACAAGAATAACAGCAAATTTCCTTTAAATATTTTTGGAGAGATTGCACTTCGTTAGTTTTTCACGTTTTTCATGCATAACTTTTAAATGTTGTTGTTTTTTGTCAAAACGTTAAGAGATAGCAGCTCTCATATGGCAACTTTGTCCTTTACAATTATTCCCTTATGATATCAATGTGTGCGATTGGACTATCCGATTTTAATAACATTTCTCCTGTTTTGCCACAGACAATAGACACAACCAATTTACGCTTTATACGCTTATAAAACTATATATAAAGAATAAAGAATTTCTTTATATATACATTTAGTATTATAAGCGTATGTAGTTAAAATGATTGTTTCTAGAGCCTGTGTACGGGTGTAATGACCTAAATTTTCATGGAAAATTGTTTTATTAAGGTAAAGAATTTAAGTATAATGGAGTATGGTAGAATATGCAAGAAAAAATATCTTACATATGTTTGCGGTTCGGATAGGAATATCCGTCCATAGGGAACCCGCCCATGACTAAGCCTCGTAACCTCCGGGCGGGTCCCCTCGGGACGGATAATCCGATCCAAACCGCAACTTATGACAAATATATTAATATATATCTGCTTCGTAATAAATAGAAATCGCAAAATATGTCCTTATACGACAAAATGTTTTGCTTGAAAGTTTGCAAAAGAAAACAATCACAGTAATTAGTGTTCATGCTGATTTTGATAACATCTTCTATTGAAGTTCACTTGAAATATATAAAGTACACGTATGCCTTAACACGATAAAAAAATATCCTGCTTTGCTTGTTCTTGAACATTTAAAATGTCATTTCGTTGTTTATTACATTGATTTTGTGTGTTTATGATAAGAACCACCAATATTGAATCACAGTAAGACTGCACTACAATTTTGTTGCAAAAGATGACATCATTCCTCCATCTACAATATGTGTGTTGTTCCAGAAACACAAGACGACAAGTCACTGAGGAGATATAGCATTGGGAAAATTACTTCTTTCATCTCTGGGAGCCGCCCCATCGGTGTCTTGCCGATAAAAAGTTCATCGAATGATGATGTCTCTTTAATATGCTTTAGCACATTCTCATTTATAACAAGAGTTGGATTTATACTGTTTACCCGTATATTATACGGTCCTAATTCCAAAGCAAACTGCTTCGTGACCATATCAAGACCTGCCTTCGATGAATTGTAAGCTATTTGATTAGGGCAACACTGTAGAGATAATACACTAGACACATTCACAATCGATCCTGGCTTTTTAGCAGCAACCATTTTCTTTCCTATAATCTGTGTTGTGTTAATTGACGCAAATAGATTTGTTTCGAAACTCTTTTGTAAAAACGCTTTAGAAACATCCAATACAGGACCGGACACTTCCTCTGTGAGGGCGGCATTATTCACTAAACCATCTAGAACTTCAATACCAACAAGTTTGTCTTTCAATTCGTCCCAATTACTTACGTCTGCTTGAATCGTGTGTATGTTCGTGTTTTCTTCCGCCAAAGTGTCCAATGTCTCCTGAGTACGACTTAACGCGTAAACCTTACAGCCTTGTTCACTTAAAGTCTTCGAGAGAGCCCGGCCGATTCCACGACCTGCTCCTGTGACCAAGAACTTCTTTCCTGCAAGATTTAAAGACATCGTAATTGATTAGCAGTGAAAAAATGGTGAATGAATTATTTGTTCCTTATAATAATGAAATTAAATAATGTCCTACTTTTGTAAACTTTATCCGAAGTTATCTAAGATGCAACTTTTTACATGTAATCAACTTATCGTTATCAATCACTGGCAAAGGTAAGGACCTGATTTTTAGGTCGTCAGATATTACTAGTGTCCTTGACGGTAATTATAAAGCTCCTAAGGAAAAAATTCCTTTAGTTTTTAGGATTTCCCTTAAAATAAATAGATTATCCTTAGTTTTTTTAAGAATTTCCTTAGTTGTTATTCATATAACTCTTTAAGTTAAAATTCCTTAACTTTGGTCGAATTTTCCCTTTGTATATGCAAATTTTAAAAGTAGTAATATTGATTTAAACTGCAGGATTAAAACTGACTTTTTTCGTATTTACTATATGCATATAATGAAATTCACTGACCTCCCGGGGCGGGACCAATGTTGACCCCAGGGCTTTAATTTGAACAATCTTGGTAGAGGCCCACTACACAATATTTCATGCAAAATATCTAACTTCTGTATCTTTATAAGGAAAGCCTATGACCTCCGAGGCGGGGCCAATTTTGACACTAAGGGCAAAGTGTGAGTAACTTTAGTAGAGGGCCTATATATATATATATAGATGATGTTATCAACTATAACCCTTGTGCCTTCAAACAAGGTGATTATTAAAGTTTTTACTCATGTACACAATGAAAATCAATGGCCCCGGGGGAGGGGTCAACTTTAACCCTTGGGCTATAATTTGAACAATTTTGCTACAGGTTTCCTACACAATGTTTCATGTCAAATATCTAACGTGTAGCCATTTTCAATTCTGAGAAGTTTTTACTATACCCAATTAAGGAAAATCTATGACCTAATTTTGACACTAGGGACACTTTTGAACGACTTTGGTAAAGGACCTATAGATGATATCATAAACCAAATATCAAAGCTCTGGGCCTTAAACTTTCAGACATGAAGAATTTTAAATTGCAGTTTTGAAACACTTGGCCCCGGTACCTACAACAGACCGGAATCATTTGAACAACTTTGAAAGGGTACCAACTGTTGACGACGCCCGACGATGGACTGTGCATGAGCACGTTGTGCTCATGTAAGCTAAAAATGACGTTGTTTAGAAAAGATCTTGATATTTATCTGTATGTTAGTACATGTACTCAGATTTTGCCCAGAATGCGAATTTACATCAAAGTAGTGCATATCGTGTAATAAGTAGGACTGTACCGGCTGATTGTGGTCTGCACTGGCCACATAGGTATAAGCAGTTGCCACTAGTTGTCAAAGGGTTCAAAACAATAAACATGTATGTACCGCCTTAAACCAAGTGAAAAACAGTGTTAAATTACTATGTTCCTTTAAATTAATCATCTTAATATTGGCGCGTATATGAAGCTGCTTCCAAAATTAAAATCGTGCTTAAAAAGTGGAACTTAAAGGAGAAACCTTGTTCGATAAAATATAAGGATATGAAATGACTGATGATCAAAGGAAATTATAATTTTCTAAAATGGCGGATACAGAGAAGGACATAGGTCTAACATCCATTATGATTTTGTCATAACTTTACTTTTAGAAACCATACATTTGAATTTGTGCAACACTCATGCCCATGTACCTTTTTGGAACCGTCCGCTATAAATACATCGTAGTATAGAGATCGCAGTGGACATTTGAAAGTTTGTCAATCAACAGTACCAAGCATGCTTGGATGTATACTCAAGGTTAACTCTGTACTGATGGCACAGCTGGCAAACAAGGTAAGCCCTCAACCCTACATATCCGTGAAATCTGACCGGGATCTATACTCTACATCTCTTCTGTCTGTCGTCAACAATTTCACTAAAAACATCTCTTCCACTGATAAGATATTAAACGACTTGTACAGGAATGATCATCGAGTGGTTCCCTATCCAATATCTGGAAAAAAGTTATCCCTCGGAAGCATTAAAAACAGAAAAATTACATGAAATTTGCAGACTCGGTTTGATTGAGTCTGTACATGAGGAAAGTTCTTCAAATGTTTTTGGCCTGTCAGTGCAATTTTTTTCTCTCCAAAATCTTCTTGTTTGAAAGTACCAACCCTACAACTTTTGTTATGTGGTTTACATGTTGTGTTTGACATCAACAGGTCCTCCATCAAAGATGTTCAAATAAGAACCCTAGGGGCCTAATTGGCCCCGCCCAGGGAACAAAGAAGGTTGGACAGATGAACACATCTGTGGATGTTTCAAAAATCCAAATTGTACCAGTTCCTGTTAAATGTTGAATTCTGCTTAAGCCGGTGCTAGGGCGCTTGGACGGTAGTTTGCACTTGGCAGTACCGTCTAAAACAGGCTCAATCAAACCAAGCCTGCAACATTTTCAATTTTGCCGTGTTGGGCTTTCTTGAGAGATTCTTATTTTCTCTATTTTTTATGTATATAGATGTAGTAAAATTTAATAATTCTTCTTCTTTGAAAACCCACGAGCTATTGCTTTGATAAAGTCTTGGAAAGTGGAGATTATAAACAAGTGTTAACAAAACGAATGTCAGCTTGTGATGACTTTTATTACATAAAAATAATCCAAATATATGAATTTACATTCCTTTTATATTGCAAAATTCAATGCTGAATATAAGAAATCATATATGAATGTCGATATTTTCCAATTTTCTCAGCCAATTATTATATACAAGCACATAATTCACAGTTAACTGATAAACAACTCCTCTTGGTCTAATATAACCAATATAGAATCGAATGTAAGAAATGAAAAGTTGTATTCTATTTCTAGCCTGTTTAATCAACACATTAGACCAATAAACAGCAGTATTTCTGATCATAGAAAACTAAATATATTCTTTTACTTTTCATAACTTATCGATTTCTATAAATTGGTTTTTTTCAGTATATTTTTCATAATTTGAATAAAAACGTTTGTTACACAGTCAAATTTTCTTTCAAACTAAATGTATTAAGAAGAGTTTGACAACAATATTTTATCACCAATTACATATTTATTTGTTTTTGTACAGGTGTTTTAATTTTTTACACACAACTATTATATACAATCACATATCCTTTGTCACATAATTTAAATATTCCTTTAATTCCAAAACAGTTCATGTTTCTGAGTAGATCAATATTGGAAATCATGTAGAACTGTCATTCACTGATTTTTTTTATCTAATTGTTCAATTACTCAGCCATTAACCACGACACTTCATCAATATCGCCCATCTAAAAGTTCATGCAACTGTTTAATTCTTTAAAACGTTTTTGCGGGACCAGTTGTAACGATTTTTTTTGTTACATCTGTCTGTAATTCTCCGCAACTATCATAATTTTTGCATTTTCGATGTATGCCTTTGACGTTTATGACGAGAGTACGTGCATTCACGTCCCCACTGTTGATTGACTGCAATTCCACTGAATACTAGTTACAGGCTATATATTCTACCGGTATGCCCATTGTTCCAAACTATCTTCTCAGATTCTTTTTATTATTCTATTATTATAGTCGTTGAAATATGATTTTTTTATTATCAGGATTGACAAATTGCATTTTATTTGGAATTTTAAAAGAGTTTCGAGCTCCACACCAAAGTGTATGTGACTGTCTTCTGTAATAAGGCAATAAAAAGCACATCAATATATATTTTGAATTGATTCCTTCGATAGTTCGATGATTCCTCCATAACGGATTCTCCAGTATTCACAATTATTCCATATGATTTCTTAATCTGCAGCGAGACAATTGACCCAGACTCACTTTTCCAAGAGAAATGTTATAATGTTCGAGATCAGTGTTCACAGATATTTGCCCCGTCAGAGGATTGAACAACATCTGGAGTATTGACTAAGATGCTCTCCCTATCAAGGTAAGAGAAATGAACGAACATAAATGATGACTAGCAGAATATTTCAGAGATAACAAAATCAGTTACATAATGTAACTAATAATCTTCAGAAAGACTGTCGGTCAAACGCCATGCTTGAAAGTTAAACAGGAGCCTGGTTACTACAGGAGTTCTTGTGACTTTATAAAGGGGAAGAATTCAGTGAAATAAAAGCTGGAGTTAATGGTCTTAGTAATTTACAATTAAATCCCAAAGAATATCTAGTGAAAATTTAATTGGTTGATAAATGAGAAATAAACTTGCAAGCATGATCTTGACCGAGTATTACACTAGCACAAGATCAATTGGGATAGCCCCAATTTTTTTGGACCTTTGAGCTTAAAAGCAGTTAACTTTCATGCACAGGTATAAGTTTTAGCCGGTACTGGGGAATCGGGTGGAGCAAGTGACAGATGTTGCATCTTTCATTATCTCTCATGGACGGACTCGATCAAGGCGAAAATAAAATTTCCACCTTTTAACTATTGTTAAAAACACCTTTTAAAGAGGAGGTCATTGAGATGACAACCCAGGACTCACTGCATCACCACAAGATGCCAATGGGTCATACAATTAAATTTACTTCAGTAGGATCCTATAATCAGCTTAAATGGAATGAGCGACAATCGAATATTGGGGTGTGTCTTTTAGAGCTGCAATCAGTTTAAACTTTGTGTATGAGCCGATTTTACATGTGTGATATTTCTCTACCGTCTGAATATTGCTGCATTATTTTATTCTTTTTTATAAGATCCTCAAAATAGTCTCCTATTATTCTACAATATATATTCAATATAATTAAGTATTTCATGGCTTATACAAAAATAATGAAGAAATATTTTTAGGAATAATTCAAAACCAATGTTTTGTGAAATTTCTTAGCTCGATTTGGGGTAAAACCTTTAAAACGCTTTTCATTTTATGCTCCCCGAAGGATGAGCATATAGTCGCCGCTTTGTCCGTCCGTCTGTTTGTCTGTCCGCTATTCTTGTCCGAGACATAATTCTAAAACTATAAGAGATATCAGCATGAAACTTTGTAGGTCGATAGATCTCATTGGGTAGAAATGCAGTGTAAAATAACAATAACTCTGTCTTGCTTAATTTTGGAGTTATTGCCCCTTTGTTTATTTTTACACTTTGAACTTTGTCCGGGTCATAACTTTGAAAGTATAAGAGATA